GGGTGGTCAGGCCTCTCATACAATAGCCCCAGGCTCCCGAGAGTTGCAGGGAACAAAGCAGAAGTTGCCTTGCTTCCTGTGACCCAGCCCCAAAGTTCCATAGTGTTCCCCCTGCCCTACTCTATCAGCCAAAGTGATCCCAAGCCCACAGACTCTAAGGAGAGGCACACACTGCACCTCTCAATGGGAGGAGTGCCAAGGGCCTGTGGCCATTGTTTAAAACTGCCACTTCTCCTTATCCTCGATCTGAACCTATGACGCGAGCTTGCAGCTGTCTGTGCTTCACCCGCCAGGACACTCCTCACAGTTACTGCTATTTCTCATACCTCTGCCTGGCGTCTCCTGCAGCCTGTGGGCAGCGAAAACCTCACTCAGACCCTGTCACTCCTGGGCCCCGAATTCTCCACAAGCTCCCTCTTGATTCACAGCAAAAGCCTAAACCCTGATGACAGCCAAAGCAGCCCACACAATTTGGCCCCTGCTTATCTCTCTGACCGCGCGGGTTCCCATGCCCCAACTGGCTCCCAGGACCCAGCCACCCCAGCCTCTGCACACTTCCTTCTGCCTTGAAACTCTCTTCCTGTCTCTCACTTCCTTCAGGTGTCTGCTCAGAGGTCACCTTGTCAGAGAAGTCTCTGCTGCGTAAAATAAAATAGCAGCCCCCCTCCTATGCACACCTGGCATCACCTGGTTCTCCTTCCTCTGCTTCATTTATAAAGTAGACACTTGAATGCGCACGCCTCTTGCAATCCAAGTGGTGGATTCTCTTTCCTTACCCACCTTGAATCTGACTCGCCGTATGACTTACTTTGGCCAATAGCACCTGGCTTGATTTAGCCAACAGAAGTGCTTTGTGCCGCTGAAGCGTCTCAGCCTCAAGAGCATCGCAGTTCCCATCCCCTCTCGTGGACCCTGCCACCGTTGTGGGACCAAGCCCAGGCTTGCCAGCTGCATAATGAGTGACCCCTAGTCCAGTTATCCCCCTTGCCCTGGCCAACCCCCAGCTGACCACCAGACACATGAGTAAGGCCATCTTCACACAAGCAAGCCACGTCAAGAATAACTGAGTCAGATGCAGGTGACCAAACAACCCAGATGCTCTGTAGTCTTAATGTTTTAAGTTATCCGGTTTGGGGACGGTTTGTTATGCAGCATTATTTGTAGTAATGGGTAACTGATACATGCACTTAGTCCAGTGCCTACATGGAATATGCAGGCACTGGACTATGCTCAATAAATATTTGCAACACAAATGAATCGATGAATGAAAAAGAGGAAAATGTTTGTCCTGTTGGTCATGATCACTCCAACACCGAGTTCAGTGCTTGGCATGTATTGTGGGATGGATGAGGAGAGAGTGATGGGTCCTATTATCCAGCCAAAGCAACCAAACAAAAAACCCTCTGGCTTTCAAGGGCATAGGAGAAAAAAAATCTCCTGGGACCCACGGAAGAAGGGAAGGTAGTAGTCTTTAGTCTCTAAGGGAGCAATGCTTGAGTCTGTCCTGACCAGGATCTTTGGGCTGGCTGTGGCCTGGGCAGTAGTCTATATGAGAATCCAAAGAAATACTGGTGGAGAAGGGTCTGTGCAACAGCAGGAGAGAGGACCCAGCCTGGCCATGAGGCTCTGGGCCTCTCCCTCAGGTCAGCTTGACCCAGCTTCCAGAACCCTCTACCACCTGCTCCACCCACCGATCCAGACATCTGTGAGCCCCAGAGCTGCCTCTCTCAAAATGCAGTTACCATCTGGCTCTAAGTTGTCCGGACAGCTAGTGAAAATGCAGAACCCTGAGCCTAACTCCAGAATTGCTATACCGAAAACTCCAGGGGCGGCTGTGGCCAAGAGCCTGGATTTCAAGAAGTTCCACACTGCCCTGTGGGGCCTGTGGACGCAGGTTGGAACATAGGGATTCTGGAACAGACTAGGAAATAGAGGCTGGAGATGTATAGCTCTCTTATCAATCCTCACCACCACAGGGGATATAGTTTCTCATACCCATTTCATGGAGGAGAACACTGAGGCTCAGAGAGGTAGTAAGTGTTCCAGGCTGCCTGACTTCCTATCAGAGACTTTTCGTTTCCATCCCAGTGGCATCCACTCAACAAAACACTTTGGCTTTTGTCTTCCTACTCTTTCAAGGTCATTTCAGGCTACTAGCTCCTTGCTGAGGTGGTAATGCTTAAGGAGAAGGAAGGCACCCAATGAAGGCTGGGTAAGTGAACAGAAGATTCGGTATGGTGGGGAGGTTTTCACACGGTCTTTAAGCAACTGGAGTCAATTAAATGTCTCTTCTGTGGCCAAGCTGAATGTTGTTTTCCAGCTTAGAGTTTTGTTTGTATGTGTGTGTTTTATATAAATTTGGTAATTAAGCCACAAATGTTCCCAGCACACTTGGATATATTTAAATTACAGGCTGCTCATCAAATGGAGAAAATTCACAAACATGGACATAAACGGTGCCTTTTGTTGGTTCCCTGCGTTCTCGCAGCACTCAAAGGGTTCTGTCAGCTTGATGGCCAATTCCAAGACTGCCTGGGACAAAGGGAGGTGGGGGGCGGGGTGGGGATTGGCAATGACACACAGGAAGTGAAGTCCCACCATGAAAGACTGTGGTTCTTTTTTTTTTACGAAAACATTTCATTGGTGCCTATAATTCATCTCAACAAGCCAGTTTTGAAAATACAAGCTGGCAAAAGGGATGTTTGTCTCTGCCTGGCTGGCAGTGATCCCTACTCACTGGGACAGGCCAGAACCCCATTCTTGATCACTGTGGAAGAGAATCAGAGGGTCTTGTGTTCACATCTCTTTTGACCCTTTGCTGTGGGGCATGTTTGGGCTCCTAGAGGTCCAGTGTCCACCCTCCCGTAGTCTCTGCCCACCCACTGTGTAATAAAAAATAAAACTGGAAGTAATAAGGGCCGACTTACTTGCAAGCATGATTGCAAGGCGGGAGGGGTCTACTGTCCTAAAGAGAAAGCTGTAACCATAAGGTCTGCAAGCGTCTTCAGGGTTAGGCAAAAAGATTTTTTTTTTATTCTTTAGGCTGCAGAAAAGAACTAGGAAGTAGGATGACAAGGTGGCATAATGAGACTGTAGGTCAGAGAACATTCTGCCCTGTTCTCAGGAGGGGCTGTCTGCTCCCTTAGGTCTAGGGTGGGCCAAAATTCAGGGGGTGGAGGCAGGAGAGAATTTAACCAAATTTGGTTAAGAAGCATTTTGCTCGGATTGGTTACTGGGGACAAGCAGTTCAACTAATCACTTAAAAGGCAAAAAATAGGAATTTGGAGGGTCTGTGTCTGGCCTTGCCATAGGTAAACAGGGTGGGGCATCCATGAGTCTTCCCTAAGTCCCATGGAAAAGGGAGTTCTTTGCAGCAAGCTGTTTTCAGGAACACAAAAGGGTGAGGGGAATTCCTTCAAGCTTCACTGTTTTCTAGGAACACAGGGCTCAGGCAAAATTCAACATTGTCACCACTCAACTGGTGATAATCTATGAGTTTAGTATTTTTTTTAAAGATTTTTAAAATTAATTCATTTGAGAGAGAGAGAGCATGAGAGCAGGAGGAGGGACAGAGGCAGAGGGAGAGAGAGAATCTCAAGTCAGTGCAGAGTCTGATGCGGGGCTTGATCTCACCACCCTGAGATCATGACCTGAGCCGAAATCAAGAGTCGGAAGAGTCAGACGCTCAACCGACTGAGCTACCCAGGCGCCCCATGAGTTTAGTATTTTAAAGTGCTTTGAAAGTACAAGGTTTGTAGTAAATGCTCAGTAAGTATTTGTCAATCTCCCTTACGTGTGAGGTCCTCCAGGGCGGGGGCTGAGCTCACTTGGCGTTTTCTTTGACGCTAGCACACTACCTAGAAACCACTGATCTGCTGATTGGGCCTTGAGCAAGCCCCAGTCTCCTCATCTATAAGACATAGTAATCTCCAACTAATAGGGTTCTTAAGATAATTACATAGTACAGAGGAGTTTCAGGGCCCCAGAAAATGCCTGACACGCTCCTGGTGAGCAGTGACAAAGACCCTCTCCTTGAACTAACTTTAGCAGGCTCTTCTGAATCCCTTTTTTCTGACTAGGCCTTGACCTTGGGCACTGTCCTTGGCTTGTTGAGTCCAGTTTTAGCAAGAATCCTTTGGGTCAGTTCAGCAAAAATCCCCCACCTCTGGTATCTGATCAAATTCATTATTCTCTACCCTTGATATCTTATCACTCTGGCCTGTGTAGTCGGTTTAGCAGAATTCCCCTTACCCCTTGTGCGTCTTCTTAGTAATTTCCCATCCACTGACCTAGACCCTGCTCCTTGGCTATAAATCTGCACTTGTCTTTGTTATATTTGGAGTTGTGCCCCACGTCTCCCTATCACGAGCCCCCGTTGCAGAGGTAGGTAGTCAGTCTGCCTTACCACTTTTGACAGGTGTCATGAATTTTTTTTTTTTGGATAACCATAAAATGAATTCCCTTCCCTTTCCTCCTTGGACTCCTGACCCAGTGTGAGCAGAACTTTCTACTGAGTCTGTTAAACGCTTCAAAAGGCCTGAGTCCCTGGAGGCCACAGGTAGCATGCTCAAAACCAAAACCCTCAGGGATGCCCACACCACTCGGGGTCAGGGCAGCGCCGGCAGGAATGATTCCGGCCTCCCCACTGAAACCCAGGACCTTCTCACACCCACAGGCCGTGGATGCAGCACTTGGGGGTTCAAATTTAGGATCTGTGACTTTCCCAAAGCACAAGGATTTGGCCACTTGATTTCGCTGGGCATTGGTTGACCGCTCTGTAAACCAGGAAAACGAATCATGTTAACTGTACGGTTCAGATGAAACAGTGGATGCGCAGCTGACTAGCCCACGAAGTTATCAGAGCTGAGGAAGTCGCAGGTGTGCCCGACTTGGGAAGAGAAACCGAGCAAAGGGCCCCCACCCAGGCTTGCCGCCGCCACCCGCAGGCCTTCGGAAACAGGACTGGGCGGGGCCGCGGCATCGATCACTCGGCGCTCGACTAGGCACTCCGCGCTGATCAGACGAGCACTGAGCGATCGATACCTCGGCAAAGCCTGACTACTCGGAGAAGGAGAGGGCCGGAGTGTTCCGACCAAACGGAACAGCTTGTCGCCAGCCTCCGGGGAACTCGACACAGCCCAAACTCGAGACAGGTGAGCTTGAGCAACTCCAGAGGGCGGGCGGCTCTGGCTCTGTTGAAGCGAAGGGGAGGACTGCGCAGGCGCTGTGTTAAAGGCGAAGCGGGAGGAAAAGACGGCCTCGCGCGTGCGCCTGGGGAAGCCCCGGTGCAGCTCTCCAAAGTAGCGAAAGTGGGGTGTGAATGGGGAGGGAAAACAGTGCCGGCGCATGCGCCCTGAGAAGGCCGTTTAGCGGCTCTCCAGCTTTCCTGCGTTGCCCGGGGGGTGGGGGGGTAGGCCCCCGCGCGTTCTTGATGCTCGCTTTACGCTTGTAATTTCGTTTTGCGCATGCGTAAAGCCAGCTCAGCCTGTGTGGGCCTGCGCGGTTCTTTGGGGGGGGGGGGTCCCCGTCGGTGCAAATGTAGGGCGCCTGCGCGAGTTTTTATTTCCTCCGTGACGGTATCGGCGGGTGTCTTCATGCTGTTGCTCTCGGACCGAACATCTCTGTCACCGGCCTGGAGGCGGGCAGGCTACAAACCGAATGTGGGCCACGAGCAGTGAAGTCCCGGGAAGGGAGGGGGTGTGAGGCCTCGGGTGGAGCGTTGGTGTGGGGGACCTGAAGGACAGGGATTTCTAGTTTGATAGGAATTAACGCTGAGCATCGGTGTCGCGTTATGCACCTCGCGTTAGAATCCAGCAGAGGTAAGTCACCGTGCTCAGCAGGCCCAAGGTCAGGGGGTAGGCAGGTGTTGGGGCCACACCGACGGCCCGAACCCGAGACAGCGTGGCCCTTAGAATGCTAGACGTACTCTTGCGCCAGTGAATAAAGCTTTACAAATATTTCCAAACCTCTCTGGAAAGTTTTACGAAGCTCCCTAGAAAGCTCTTGTTTTTTGCACAACTTTCGTGGAATGATGCCACAATAAAATTGGAGAGATTTCGGGGCGCCTGGGTGGCTTAGTCGTTAAGCGTCTGTCTTCGGCTCAGGTCATGATCCCAGGGTCCTGGGATGGAGTCCCGCATGGGGCTTCCAGCTCCGCCCTGCAGCTCCCTCTCCCACTCCCCCTGCTTGTGTTCCCTCTCTCGCAGTGTCTTTGTCAAATAAATAAAATCTTTTTTAAAAATGGGAGAGATTTCAAAACTAACTCGGTAGCCTGTTCCCAGAAAGCCTGATAGAGGCCTCTATTCCGGAAGGCACCGGTGGGAGGCTTCTCATGACCAGCATGCCGCCCTCCGGGCTGTTGTTTCGGGTCAGCCTGAGACCTTTGTGGGGCTCCTGGCGGGGGCCGCTTTCAGAAGCCCCACCTGATACTCTCTGTGAATCCCGGTGAGATTGTCCAAGAAGCCATTTCTCCCAACCAATTTAAAGACTACTCTGGGAGCTGCTTTAGGTTTTTAAAGATAATTAAAGAGAATTCTGGGATGACAATGGTGGCTTCCTTGGGAGGCTTTCTTTTGTAACTAACAGAAGCCACTTGGGCTGTTCACTAACGAAAGACCAGCTTACTTAAATAATGTGCTCTATCTGGATGGTGAATTTAGGAAGTCGGGACCAGAGTCCATGCTGGCTGTCGTATGTAGCCTATACTTGGCTCCTCTGTTTAATACAACCAACAAGAAGCCTTTCATGAAGTTCGCATTAGGTTGATTTACAAAGCCCAAACAAAAGGCACTCGGAGAGGTTAGTTCTTACAACCTTTATGTGACCCCCATGCCAAGAATATCCTTTCGTGCATCAACAAAAAGGCCTTTTATAAGAGAAGCCATTCTTGCAATCTCGTTTTGCAAGATGGCAAATTGCCATCTTGCAAAACGAGATTGCAAGATGAGAAGCTATTTTATGCAATCTGTACCTTACCTTCCCCTGAAAGCTGTCTCATGTCACGAAACCAGTACATGGGGCGCTCTGAAAGGTCAGTTTACAAAGTCAGGACTCAAGAGCACCCCGCTCTTTCTGTACCTGACACCTGAACCCTCACTTCCTTCAAAAAAAGCCTTCTATGACCAGCAACAAGTCTCTAGGCTGATACCTGTGGAGTTCTAGGAGACTGACTTTAATGTGATGATATAGGGCCCCTCAGGCTTTTTCATGATTAGGGTGACCATAGGTCTCAGTTGGCTTGGAATAACCCTAATTTCTGTCTTGTCCAGTCCTAAATATTAGATACATTAAACACTGAAATTTATATATATACAAAAGAAAGTTACTAAGAGCACTCCCAGTACTCAGCTTGTGTAAAATGAAATTCCTACTTGCAGAAATGAAAGTTCCAGGCAATGAAAAACAACATTGGAGAAAATGATGAGAATAAAAAATTTTACAAGAGAAAAATTTTATACCAAGCCAAAAAAAGGGGGAGTGGGTCCTATATATAGATAGCATCCTGGTTTGTCAGAAATACCCTATAGTTCACTTTCCTACACCTGACCACCAGAAGGCTGTTTATATCACCTCTGCTTATGCCCTTTCCTCGTATGTGGAACTCTGGGAGGCCAATTTGAAGACCAGTCTACACCACCACTCTGAAAGACTTTCACACAGTTTATTTTTGACTCCCTCTTCTGGAAAGCTGTTTAGCATAATCTTTTATAAAAGGCAATTCAGTGAGCAGCTCTAGGAAGCCAGTCAATAAAGCCAGGCCACAAGGCTACTCTGGCTGATGCCTTCCTCTGGGAAACTTTAATATAATTATCAAGAAGCCTTTTTCGTCAGACCAGTACATGGGGGATGCTAGAAGGCTGATTTGTAAAGCCAGGACTTGAGGCCACTTAGAGAGGGGTTTCATGGACCCTATAGCTCACATTCAGTGGAGGGCCAGATCGAAGGGCTGGGTGTGCAGGCCACTGCTTACAGCCCACCTGAGGCCACCTGCTCTGGAAGATCGTTTCATACAGTCAGCAAGAAGGTGTTTGACCCAGCCAGCGAAGGCCCTTTCTCCCTTGAGGCCACGTTCCATGGTAACAGGAGCTAACGGGAGGGTTGGTTGGTAGAACATATCCTGGTTCCTGGTGTTCTGAAGACACCATGGGAGATAGATTGGTTTGTAAAATAAGACAGAGCCTGGGTTTCATCTGGACCCCAGACAAGGGCCCAGTGTGTAGGCAAGCCTGTTTTTGAAACCGTTCATTAGTCCTTTAGAAGACTGTTTCACGTAGTAGGATGTGGCTCCTCCCCCAAAGGCTGTCTGATACGGCAACCGTTTAAAAGGCAAAGGTTCTGAGAAGCCGTAAGATTAAGATTACTCAGATAATGACCAGCCTGCCACCTCCCCATGCATAGTTGCTTCATGCTGCCAACATAAGGTCTTCTGGGAGGCCAGTGGTTTTGGGTTTGTTTTTGTTTTTTTAAGATTTTTAAGTAATCTCTACATGCAACGTGGGGCTCAGACTCACAACCCCGAGCTCAAGAGTCCCACATTCCACTGACTGAGCCAGCCAGGCGCCAGGGAGGCTACTGTTTTAAGATCAATCATGAAGCCCTTCGGGAGGCCGTTCAAGAGGCTAATACAAGTCAATCTGAAAAATCATTTTGAAAACAAACTCAGAGCTATCCTGAAATGTCCTCCTCTGGAAGACTGTCATATAGTGTTAACATAAGTATCTCTGAAGACCTTTTTGTAAGGCCATTCACTGAGAAACTCTAGACTAGAAATTAGTTACTAAAGCTACTTTAGGTGGCTAAGAAGAGACTGTTTTGTGCAGGCCCTCTCCCAGAAGGCTATTTCACATGGCCATCTATAGCGGCCCTCTCCAAAGCCGGCTTGCAAAGCCACACATAGGCTGCCTGAGGAGGCTGGTTTATGGAGACCAAACACAAGACCGCCTTGGGAAGCCAGTTTGTGAAGCAGCCCACGAGGCCACCTGTAGTGGTTTGCTTTGTAAGGGCCTTCGTGAGCTCTATGAAGGGCTGTTTGGTGAGGTCAGTTTGCAAAGTCTGTAATCTGCATCCCAGGGAACCAGTTGATGGCCCCTTTAAAATCGTCTGGGAAGCCATTTTTTAAGGCCACTAAGAGACCAGTTTACGAAGCTGGTACATAAGGCTCCAGTGGAAGCCATTTTTATAGTAAGGCAAAGAGGTGGTCTGCGGGGAGGCTTTTTTATAGACCTTTGTGAGAAGCCAGGATATGAAGCCTCTGAGGTCTTTTGGATACCCGAGACTTCTCGAGGTTGCTTCATAAGACACATGAGTCACTCTGAGGGGGACGGGCCATGGAGCCACCGAGGGAGGCCAGCTGATGGGCTCACATGCATTTTTGTGGGTGGGTAGTAGATATGGCCATGCTGGAAGGTTGGACTGTGAAGCCCTCCCAAGAAGGCTGTTCATTAGGCCAACACAAGACATTTACAAATTTTCTAGGAGGCTAGAGCTAGAAATCATCCTGGCAGGCGAGGGTCAGGCCCCTCGAGGCTCTCAGTCCCATCATTCACTGGAGGGCCAGCTGGGAGGGATATCCCTTGTGCACCAAGGACCAAGCTAGGAGACAAAGGTCCAAAAACGGATTCAGTCCTCACCCCCGAAGCTGAAGAGTGTTCTGCGTAGACACTACCACGTACTGTGTAGTTTTGGACAAGTTGCTTAATCTCCCAAATCTTTGTTCATATCTGTAAAACCACACATCATGGGATTAGGAGGAATATATTAGGTAATCTACATAAAACATGGAACATTGACACGGCACATAGGAAAGTCACTTCATTTTTCCCTGGACTTTAGTTTCTTCATCAGCCAAAGAGGATGGGGTTGTGGGGAGAATGATCATATACTTCCCTATCCACTTAACGGCCCCGAGAGGTACAAATCAAAGGAGAGGGAGAGGAAAGGTGAGGGAACTGTGGAAAGACGGCAGGACTGAGAACAACTCTATGTTATTGCTTTAACTTGGGGACACACCCAGGAAGAGGTACTTCAAACATAATGACACACAAGAAAGATGGGTCCTTTCCTTCCGTGAAGTGATGGGATTTTCTCATCTGTTAAGTGGAAATAATAACTCCTCCTTTACAGATTTTTCTTGAGTTAAGCAACCCGGACTCCCAGCTTCATCATGGGCTGGCTGGAGATGGTGTGGCTCCGTTCCTTCACTTGTAAGATCATGGAAGTGGGGGCCAGACAGCCTGAGTTTTAAATCTCTCGATCACCTCTTCCCGGCAGAGTGCTTTGGACAAGTCATTTAACTTCTCTGCTTTAGCTTCCTTACCTGTGAAATGAGGATGATGATACTTTCTTAGAGTTTCTGTAAGAATTAAAAAGCCCCTGGAGCATACCTGGCTTACAGTAAATACCCCAGTATGTTCTTGGCGTCACAGGGTCATTATGAGAGTTGGCGAGGTAATCATGCAATACTGTCAGTATTCTACTTGCTGTTACTCATGAGTTGGGGAGAAATGAGCTAACATGGAGCCCAGAGGTAGGGATGGGGCTGTCCAGCCTACCTTTAGGGACCATACCTCTAGCATTCATATGTCTTCACTTCCCTATCTACTGCTGACTTCTTCATACACATTGGTGCTAAAGGAAGCCATGTTTTTTCTTCCCGTTCTGTTGGGTGAGTTACAGTTGAGTCCCAGAGTGTCAGGGAAATCCGGATAGGGGTGTTTATTAGTTATCTACTGCTGTACAACAGATCACCATAAACTTAGTTGCTTAAAACAACATGTATTTATTAGTTTCTTTGGGTCAAGAGTCTGGGTGTGGCTTAGATGGGTCCTGTGCGGCAGCAACCTCTTTGACCTCAGCCGCAGCAACTTCTTCCTAGAAACATCGCCAAAGGCAAGGGAAGCAAGGGCAAAAATGAACTATTGAGACCTCATCAAGATAAAAAGCTTTTGCACAGCAAAAGAAACAGTCAACAAAACCAAAAGACAACCTACCCAACGGGAGAAGATATTTGCAAATGACATAACAGATAAAGGGCTAGCATCCAAAATCTATAAAGAACTTCTTAAACTCAACACCCAAAGAACAAATGATCCAATCAAGAAATGGGCAGAAGACATGAACAGACATTTTTCCAAAGAAGACATCCAAA